GAAACAATGGAAAGTGGTTCGACAAATAAGAATTACAACAGTCTATTTTGTGTACTGCTTGCTTAAAGCTACATGAACATTATAACCAAAGCCCTTTTTATTCCTACCACTTTTGTCAAGAGAAGAGGAAATAAACATAGCTTACTGCTAGAGGAATAAAGGCAGGGCCATAAATACCTATCATGCATCATAGCTACAGAAAACAGTATCTCCTCCTCTTTGAGCAGATGATGATCTTTCTTACAGCTCAGCAATGCAAAAAGGCAAAGTATTCCTCAAACCTGCTTTTTTCTGAGCAATTTAGAGGTTTACCATTGCTGATTACGATCTCAAGTTGAAAGCATGCTGGAGGACAGGAGGAGACTACAATAAGGAGAAATCTTGGCTGCAGTTTTGCTAAAACCTGATCAGGAATGGGAGAATAAAGCAGAATTTGTCAACTCAACTGTGGAGCGCGCTCTCATCATTCTGTTCAAGGCATCCTGTTTTCACCACCTCTGCTGTAAAACATCTTGATCAAAACTGTGGTTTTGGTCGATGAAGTAGCGAATAGGTCTTTCAGTGCAATTCCCTGTTTGAGAAGGCTTTTGTTAGCAATTGGCTGAGCAAACTCCCACTTCACAGTAGCAGCTGTGAACCCCGCTGAGGGCATCTGTTGGGTTGTTAATACTTGTTGGGAAGTATCTCGCTTTAAGTGTGTTTTGTTTACAAAAGGAATTCCTATGCTTTTAAACTCAGTGCTAACGATACTGCGCCTCCTGTTTGTTTACATATAATGTTCGATCCATGTTGTCTTTGTTCTCTTGTACTGATTTTCCTCCCTACAGGGGGCTAAACATATCAAAGGGGTTTTTTGATTGCCTTCAAGTTTCAATTGAGTTATAATAATAACGGCCTAGATACAGAAAGGTTATTAAATGAAGTGTTATAAGAGACTGCTGGCCCAATTCCTTCCTTTCTAGCCAGCAAAAAGAAGGAGAAACTCCATGGAAGCTAAAATTCAAACGGATGTCGGAGTAAGCAGGACCTACAAGAATTGCTTCTGCACCAGCAGTGAGAGCAGAACAACCCTGTCCCCTCCTGTGGCTGTCACTTCTCAAGGAGCCCTGACCGCCCAGACTCAGCTGTCCCCCTGCACATCCTCCACACTACAGCCCTGAGCCCTGCAGGGGCTGCTGGAACCACATCAATACTTCGGGGCACGTGAAGGGATGCAAGCGTTAAACAGGTGCATGCTTCCTTCCAGTTAGCTCACCAATACCAACCCCAGGGACGCAGAGCTCTGCAAAAGCAGTAAAAAAAGTCCCGTCAGAGTATCTTTGTTAACAGCACATCTCTAAAGCCTCTAAGGAAGTCTATACTGCCATTTAAGCAGCAAGCCCTTCCCCAGCCCCGACCCACCAACATTCAGTGTTCAGGCACAAACAGCCCCAACCTCCAGCGAGGAAGGAACCCTCCAGTGTATCCTATACAACACTGGCATGAGGATGGAGGATGGTCCCAGGAATACACTGCCTGCCTCACCAGCAGAAGGTCTGAGGCCAGTTCCTCTCACAGTGATCCGAATGCCTTGAGACAGAAGGAAGGTCGCAGAGGAGTATGGAGACTACACTGCGTAGGCCTGCTCTGTAACATCCACAGCTGGGCGTAAGGAAGAGCAGGAGGCAGGGAAATGATCTGTCTACAGAAGCTGACCCCCATGACTAACAGCTGTTTAACTACAGACGTGAATATTCAAATTCTTGCTTAAATACCTGCAGAACTGGTGTCCAGTCTGAAACGGCTCCTGACTGCAGAGTTCCCTCTTGCAGACATGTATTCAAAGGAGACTGAAAAGGTTTAGGCTTGCCCTTCTTGTGGACACGGGGTAGGAGGACATTTATAATCCAGGGTGGCTCAAGTGGATGCTGCTCATCGAGATACTACGTGCTTCCTATGTACGTACAAAAGCAAAGGCGTGTTTTTGGACAACCACTCAGAAACTTTAGGAAGAAAACAGGAGATACCATCAGAATTCAGTTTGAACATAAAAACACTGCTGTAAGCACTCACATTCATGGAGGAGTGCTACAGATTTAATGTTAATATGCAAGAATTTAATTTTGGCTTCTATTTGCAAACTAATACCGTGTGTAGTAAAATGTTTTCCAGCAGTTACACGGACACATAAGTTTAGAACAGCAGGAGAAGAAACCAGTGTAATAATTACGAGTACTCCTTTTCTGCAGGATCTCTCCTCTTCCCTGTGTTCTTCCACCAATCTACACAGGAAATCTAGCAGATGTTTAGCTCATGTGGTTATTAAACATGGTTCAGACAGGTCACTATTGGTACATATGTTACTTTGGTGAAGATGTATTTCCTGTTCACATCTTGCTCCTCCATCCTATCCCAATTCTGATTTTTTTTTCCAAATATGTTTTCAAAGAGACATGATTACCACCTCAGAAAGACATACCCGACAGAGCATCTCACAAAAGTAAACATTTATTTAATACCAAATAAAACTAAGCTGCTCCTGGGTGTAACTTGCAGACCCAAGGTCTCAATTTGTGTTTATGTAAGCCAAGCTGGTGCTGCAGACTTATTCCTGACATATACTGATGTGAAATGACAACAGAATGAGCTTCTCACAAAATAATTTATTCACCTGTGCACCAGACGATTCTAGCCTGTGTTAAGAGCCAGGGGCTGTGACGGTACTTAGCTGACTTTGTACTGAGATCCACAATCCATTAAAGCTTTCTGCCGAGAGATGTTGTATGACAGTACTTGAGTTCTGTATTGATACTGTTACCTGTAACCCACCGTGATTCAGCAGTGCTTTACAGGGCTGCGGCTGAGCAACATGAATGAGCAATCAAAGCAGACTTTCCTGGTGTTTGTAGTTTTGCAGGGACTGAATCTCAAAAGCAAGGTAAGTCATCTGAATCAGACTTCCACAGTCTTCAAAATAAAGTGCTAGAGCTGAAACTAGACCTTTGCTGTATATTGAAAACACGTGAAGGAAGCAGCCACTCTAGAGAGTTGACTCCACTTTTGAAAGCCTTGTATCGGTGCGTAGGATCTACACATTCGCTATCCCGCTACCGTCACAGTCTGAACGCTGAGGATCAACACACACACACTATACATCCTGTACACATGGACATGGCTGTATCCATACAGCTGCATTACAGCAACACTATCACTTTCATACTGCTAGTTTAATTTCTGATTTCTTCTCATTTTCTGCCTAATGTGAAAGATGTGATGTATAGACGAAGGATGACCAACACTAGGCTTCTGCTTATCTACTGGACCTTACACATGTCTGTGAGCTCACGACGTGCAAGACAAAAAGGTCCGAAGAACACATCAGCGTTTCAGAACAACCACACGCTGGGGACTTTTCTTAATTGATTCAAAGTAATTACCACTTATTGGGGAAAAATAGAAAATTAAAGCAAATCAGCAACAAAAATATCACAGGACTAAACTAAAAATATAAACGGAGAGTATCTCGCCAAAACCACATAAAATGAAGAAAGGCTTCTGCTAGTGTGCAAGACCAGTGACATCTTGTGGGGGTTTTACAGAAATGAGTTTACAGAGGGACAGAGCAAACTAGTCTGCAAGGTTGTGTAATTAAAATAAACTCTACTTCAGTAGTTCATTTAATACATATACCATTAATAATTTTTGGTAGAAATTAGGCTTTATTGCTTTTATAATGAGGAATGAAAATTTAAAAAAAACCCACAAAAACTAGATAAATAGCTTGTAAGAAAAACTTTGAAAACAAAAATTAATGGAGTGGAGTCCATACAGCTCTGCAGCAGTTTCCTCTGCTCTCCCAGGAAGTAGTTATATTTATCACTTAAATATTACTCATCCAAAATGATAACCGCATAAGGGTGAAGTTACAAGAGACTAAACAAGGAATTATGTTGTAAAGGCATACGGTCAAACATAAAAATGACATTCACACGTAAATATTTAATAAATAAAGCATGGATAATTATGCTCTTCCTTCCCACTGATTAACAGACTATGCCAAATTCGTTATACGTACTTCTTGAGAAAGCAAAGTTAGATCACAATTGAAAACTAAAATAATATATCCTACTTTCCAGTACAGTATGCAAGATTTGGACCCTTCAGATTGTATCAGAGTATACGAGTTTCTGGAACAAATCTTAAACTGCTGTGAAGTGTCATAACTCAGCTAGATACTCAACTCTGACACTTTACAACAAGCAAAAATGTTTCGATTTCTTTTTCTAAACAAGTTTGCACCCAAGCTAAGTTATAAAAACATAACATTTACAACTTGAAAGATGATAGATTTTCCTACCATAATATTCATGTGTTCATCTTATTTTCATTTACCTGAGTAGCCTAAGTAAACAGATTACAAGGCAATTTAAACATATTAGCTAATACAAGGTTTACTGGACTTCTCATATATAGAAATGTACTTTGACACTATTTGCAGTTTTACAAATACAAAATGAATAAGAATTTTAAAACATATTTACTGAGCAGCCATGTCTTTGATATCTGTACAGATCAATAGGTGCAGTGGAATTATGTACAGAATTCATCATTTTTTAAACAGCTTTTGTGCAACCTGGCTGTAATGTGCATTTAAAGAACTGCTTTCAACATCACAGATCTGTAATATTTACTGGTGCCGGAAACGGAGAGTACGGAATAGGACAACAGCTTCTAAAATAATACTGTGCTATGCAGACATCTGTACATAATTCAAATAGTGCATATTACTCAATGTCTGATGAGGAATAATAGTTAGCTGCTAATACAGACACGGGCATTTACAGGTATTAGGTTTGTTACAGTAAGTATGGATGAATAAACTATTCCATATATAAACATTAAAGGAAAGGACTTGCATTAGGAAGTTATGTAATAAATAATAAAACTTTCAATTCAACTTGCAGAAGATTAGTACAGTAGGAAAAAATCCTTTACGGTAGCAATGAAACCATTCAGAAGCATTGTCAAATCAAAGATAATTCAGTTTTATTTTATAATCATAGCAACTGAAAGTAAAAAAAACCCAACAAAACAACATGAAGAAAATTAATTTTATCTCTGATAGTTTTGTTAGTGTACTTCTGTGTTATTGTACCTGTCAGATGTTTCCTCCTCTTTTTGTGCTCTATTCACTCTATCACTTTAGATTTTTTTATTTTTTAAAAAAATTTCTTTAGTCCAACATAAATCCACAGACACTAAAGCACAGTGAATGTGCAATTTGCAGACTGGCGTGAGTGAAAAACTATTGGAATATAATTACTTTTACGAGGTAAGCTTGGAGTAACTCGGAGGAGAAAATTTGCGCTTCAAGTACTTGAGAATGTAAAGTGGAAGACAGCTTACAACAGTGATTGCTGACACTTTCCACAGGAAGGTCACAGTTGTGATAAAGGCAACATCTGCAGAAAAAAAAGGGAAAATAAGTAATGGGAGCTGATAACAAGAAAACTGGAACTTCCATAGTGCAAAGTCAATAAAACGTTCTTGTTTGCTTTTGCTATTGTTCAAGACCAGGCAAAATTAAATTTGAAAAAAAAAAAAAAAGAAAAAAGAAAACATGAAAGAAAAAAGGGTCAACAAACCAACAGAAAAATAGTTAACATCAACATTTTTTTTTTTGCCAACTATTTCCTTTAGACAGGAACTTCGGAGTTCCTTTAAGGTCCTTACACTGTTTTGCAGGACAGAATAATTTTAGGGAAAACAGAATCTCAGTTTAAAAGCAAGACTTTCTCATAATAAAAAGTTAAGCCAGCTTATTTTTCTACTAGTAAGAACAATTTTTACCCACTATAATACAAGTTCCTGACCAGAAATTGTACCACCATTTTGGATCCTTTATTCCATATTCAAATTCTTTTTCTTGGAAACAGTCAAAACAACTAGACAGAATGTTTCTTAAAACCTCAGAGGTTAAATCAGAGCCCAAAAATTTAAAGGGAAAACAACGTTGTGATATTGCCACAAGCCACAGTGAGAAGCTATTGTTTTGTGACAAACACTAACAAGATCAGTGACACCCTACACTTGCTGCTGACATTTTTTGATCGTACTTGCAATGGTGGGGTCATAATTATCATGGAAAGATCCCAGAACCCAGGTAACTTGAAGAATTGGGGTTTTTTTTCTTTTTTTCCATTATTTACAAATGTGTATATTAAAGAATTTACTACTCTTTAATGAATTTTTAAAGACTTTCAAAAAAACTTCAAGAAAAGTTAAACTTCACCTACCTAAGAAAGCTCCAAAAGACACTCTGCCTATACCTGTTTCACAAAGAGGGAAAATGAAAATGAAAGGACAGACTTACAGGAAATACAAATGCTATGTGAAAAAAACCCCAAAGAGGTTAGCTGCATAAAAAGGAAATTAAAAAGATGTTAGTAGCCTTAACCAGAGTATTACTGCCTTTCACGTGACAATTGGAATATTTTAAACAGCAATTAAACCAAAAATACTTTGAAAAGAAAGACATTTCCTACTTGATCACGGGTTAAGGTTGTAAGTAGGCAGGAAGTTTTCTTACATTTGACCTCAAGGTAAGATTTACTGTAGAGAGAACTTGATCAGAACTGTTTTAATGTGAATGAAAATTCACTTCAGAAAATGCAATAAATAAATGTTTTACTGCTCCAGCTTTGCTCATGCAAAATATTTTGTAGATTAGATTTCAGTGTACAAACTTGTTACACAGTTTTAGCCTAAGCTTGCTGAGGCACACGAAAAGTTTGTGTAACGTGTCAGAGACACACGCCTAATAAGGCCATCGTGTGCAATTCATTCAGAAACCTAAAAATTGATTTACTTCCATGAATCACAGCTGTAGAGCAGCATCAAATATTTTTGTCTTTCTAATTTTAGTGCCCTGTCATAATTATTATATCATTTCTTTGGGAGGAGCTGATGTGTATAAGCACCATCATTGCAAGAAACATTTTATTTGCCAATGAAGACAAGCACTATTGGAGTGGATCATTTTCCCTGATACATGGAAGTTGTTCTATACTTTGTACTGCAAACCCTGTTCTGTAACTTCGTTTACACTACATTACATGCAGAAAAAATTTTTCTCTCCCTGGTTATAATGTGACAGATTAAAGCACTAAGTAAAGAATTAAGCAGACTAACTAAAATGCATTTTCTCAGATGAACCGATTAATAACACACAGTACAATATATCTTTACAAAAGCCCATGAAATTGCAGCCTTTCCAGTACTCTTAGTGATGGAAAATACAGAAGTCTCCAGGCTGCAAGAAGCCATGCAAGCATTTACTCACTCAGTTGCTCGGACTTGTCCAGGAAATGCACGAGGATAGTGAAGCATTACTCTTTACAGAAAGGCTTGCAAGAAACTAAGTCCCTGCAGTTTTCACACATCTGGGAACACCACCTAAAGGGCTTTCTCACTGAACAGCACCTCCAAAGGATGGAAGGACTGGCTGTCACCAACACTGAAGACTTAGAAAGGTGAAGCAGCAAGTTCTGCTTTTTGAAGTTCCTGGAAGTTTGGGCTACGGAGTCAGTACCTGTGTCTGCTTCTTGCTTGTTCCTTTCATTTGTAATCTGGCTGTGGAGATTTAGGAATCAATCCCATAATCTCTACTAAAGAGCCTGCGCATCAGTGGCAGATGAAAGGCAGACCTGAAGTAATGCACAATACAAGTACAAAGCCCAGCAGGGTTGTTTCTTCATGAAAATTTGACTCCTGAGAAATCTGGGAAATAACAGAACACCTGGGACAGGCAGTGAAGCCTTTACTGATTAAAAAAAATAATTATATACTGTAAACACACTACCCAGTGTTGAATACTTGTGACAGAAAGTGAAAGCAGAACTATGAGACTCTTAGAAACTACGACATAACATTTAATTCTGCTATGAGAAGGGACAGTGGAAGAAGGGCAATTCCTTACTCACCAGCTCCTGGAAAACACAGAGAGAAGGAGCTGGATTCTGCTCCTTGTGAGCTATTATCAAAATTGTTACATTTGTAAAATCACACTAAGATTGAGATAGTTGTTTTTACTGAAGGATAATTTGATATGAAAAGAACTAAGTATTATTTTGATGCTCAGATCCTTGACTGCTAAGATTTGCAGTACATGTTTCTATGATTCTATGTGTTCCTTCATCTTGTGAACTATGAACACTCAGAACCTTCAGATACAGTACTGACATACTGCAATTTAAAGCAAAGCAAGCTTACTATAAGCCTAATATAATTATGAAACAATTATTCTTATATAAAGTATCTACCCTAATAGCCTTCTGCCTCACCCTCTAGCAATACTTCAGCTCTTTTAAGCTTGGGGTTAGATCTAATGAGGTCTACTTGGTCTGGCATACAAAATAATTCACCAACTCAGTGAAAGATCCTGATTTTTTAAAATCGTATCCACTTCAATAGTGCAAATCTCAAAGCCAATTTAAGGTATGCAGTTTGGACTGTCAAGACCAGATGAAGGCTGGGAAAAGCATGCGTAGTTTGACTAAGGTTTATCAACTACATAAATCATACTAACAGGAATAAAGATTGTCAAACTCTAGGAGAAAAGGACAAGAGAATATTTTAGCCCAACATTAACTAAGCCTAATTTCAACTCGTACTTCTTACGAAAGAAATAGAGAAAGCTGTACTTCACAAAGCATAACATCACCTATTCTTAACTTAAAAAAATGAGAAAAAAAAATCAAAATATTAAGAATATGAAACACAGTTCTTTGCTAAAATACCTTTATCATTACTTACCAAAGTATTCATTTAGAAATGCAAGAGAGGCCACATAGCAGCCAAGACTGAGGAATTCAGCCACCACCATTAACCAGTGCCACGTTCGTATAGTCAGTGCAACCATCAAGAGCTCGGTCAAAATGAGGGCGGTGAAGGAAATGGCAACGACATGTACAAATTCAGATTCAAAAAGCAGCAGGGCTCCATACATCAGAATACCACCTAGGAAAGGCACACGAGTTTAACAATACACTGAGCAACGACATTTCAGTGTGCACACTGAACTTTCGGTCGCTTATTATGAAAACTGGCCCGGTAATTTCTTTTAAGGTAACAACATTGATTTTTCTAAAAGAACAGAAGTGATGTTGACTGGACTTTGTGCATGTGAACTAAAATAACCAAAGTAAAGCTGTCAAGAAATAAAACTCTTAGAAAATTAAACACCTTTTAGTGCAATATATCTGATGAACTGCTAATTAACCTCATTTTATCAAGTGCTACAAATAATTGAGATATTGTTGAAAGTGTAATTACCTTTAACTGATTACATAATTCAGATTTCTTCAACAGTACTTCTGCCATTCCATGACAGAAAACTACTGTGTAAATACATGCAATGTGGTGAGCACTCACTAAAATTTTTCTGGATTAGCATTTAATTAAAATCATGTCCTTTTTTAGGCGACGTGCATCAATAAAAACACCAATCCATGCCGTGCTTTGAACAGGCCTGGCACACTCCAGGAATATCGATTTATGAGATAAACAGAAAGCAATATATATAACTGCTGATGAAATGGTAAGCTTTGGGAATTCAACCTGCAGCTGAAAAACAATACTGCCAATAGCAGACAAAAAATTCTCAGTTCAGTAACATTAGGACTCTCTCCTACCTTGGTAAATACTGATTAAAACCCAGATGAGGAAGGTCTTAAATGACAAAGATCTTCCCTAAGGGAAACAAGTGAGAGGACAGTTAAACACAACTTTAAAAAAAATAAATCTACTCAGTTCATCTATTTTATTAGTTCATCTCTAGAAAGACATTTTACAAGTAAAATAAGCAGCTTTTGAAGTGATATAGGCTAAAAAACTCCTACTTGTTTGTACGATTCCTCATTGCAAACTTGTATAGAAACTGCACAAAGTCTAAATGTGGGGGTAGGACAGTTAGGGCCTCAAACAGCCAAGATACTTTACCTTGCAATGCTCCGGCTGGTTTTCAGATGGATAATTTACAGTAAAATCAGTTTATTTTTTATTTAAAATTTTTTATGTCTGTTTTGTAAAATGCAGTTTTCAAGAAGAAGAGCACTGTGTACTTACAGACCTAAACCTCAAGCAGAACTGTCACTTCTAAATGCTGGATCACTGCAGATTTACATTCAGAGAATAAACATGTCTATGGTAAGTTTTCAGCAAGCAGCTATTACCAAATACATCTGAAACCTTCTTGTGATTGTGAATGTTACAGATTGAAACATATGCATAAATCCAAGAATCAATGCTGTACATCTGCACATGACTCGTGCATTCCATGAAGGCACTGAGGAAAGATATGACAATTGCAGAGTTGAAAGGATATGCATTGAAAAGGCCAAAATGGCAAACTAAGCAGTGGTTTGGGGACAAAAGAAGTGATCCCTCTGGAACAGGGAGGAATCAGCACTTCACAAAGAAATGTGCTTCACTGCTGCAGAGAGTGATGAATTAACTCTTTCTGTGACTTCAGGATTGGCTACAACATCTTGGATAATTCATGGCAAGGTGCTAAAGACATTTTTGTGATTTTGTATATAGCCTAGAATGCTGGTGACTGAACATATGGGAAAAATTCTCATACAAGCACAAGGAAACATTAGATTTTTTTTTTTCTCCTATGAGTGCCTACTCATTTTCCTTTGAGTACTGGACACTGCTTCTGCCTTTGACCACAGCTCCCAATTAGTGAGATCTGTGAAATAAGAATGAGCTTAAGTTTTGGTTCACCTTTATGGAACTAGAAGGGGTAAGCCACTCCTGAGCCTCTAGGGAATGCTGCACAAGAGGCTGTGAATAATTTTCAGATGAAAGCAGGGAGCACTCTTACTTGTGCTTCTTTGTGAATTTTCATCAGCTTTTCTAGTTATAACTCCGTAGGAGCCACATCAATAGTAATACTGAACCACTGCGTCCTCCAGGGCATGTGGCCACCCCGTCTCTCTGAACCTCACTAATTTTCTCTTCTTCTTGCACCAGAGCAGGAATCTGTCAATGACTTGTGCCAATAGCTCTTATACTTTTAAAAATCTGAAAAGTATTTTCATCACTAGCATATCCCAGAAAAGAAACCAATTCCTACAGAATTACAGTCCACGTCAACATGTGTTTGACTAATACTGGCTGAACAGCGTTGGTAGAGATTTGCATTTAGAGTCCATGATTTCAAAAACGATGTACAGAAACATGTAGGCTTCATAGCGTCACGACTAAGGTGGCATTATGGTAAATTGTTGGAATAAACACTCACAATAAGATTGCCTTGTAATAATGAAGTCAAATGTAGCACGTAAATCACTTTTTGTGCTACTCATCCATAATCACTCACTGATCAGCACCTGCCCCACACAATGCACCAAACCATACTCTCCACTGTCTCTATGTTCTCTTTTTTTTTTCTTCTGAAGATAATGACTTGGGTTGTATTTATTTAATATTCATCGAGGTGCAACACAAGCGGGGAAAGCCAGTGACTCAGCATCTCCAAGAACTGTCATGTAAGCCTAAACAAAACACTTAGCCTGTATTCATCTACCCATCCTGGGCACTTTCCTAGCACAGGTTAACTTCTACTTTGGAAATAAGATGCTTCCAAGTTCCATCAATAGGTTTCCGCTGGCAAACTTACAGCTGCCTTTATCAGGTGTAAGGCCATGCCTTTTTGAGATTAATTGTAGCCTGAAATCTCATAAAGAAACTTTAAAGATTTGGAACAGGAGAAAGAGAGAATCAAGACCTCCAAGAGATGAGAAAAAATTCTCCCGGACTACCATAGCTAATAGCTAATTTAGTACAATTAAAAAGACAAAGGCTCAGAAAAGTTTGGACCTTCTTTGATGACTGTCTGCTTTTGAACATTTTGGTACATCTTCAAAGAATCTACTACCCCTAAAAAGACTATCTGCTTCTGCCTTGGATCATAACTTTTCTAGCTGTCAGTTTAAGATGGAACACAAGTACTTTTAAAAAAACTTATTAAAAGAGAATCTTGATATTTGTTTCACTGTTGTGGGTAAAGAGTTTGCAGGTATGTGCAAACATGGAGAAAGCACTATGTGCAGACAGATGATTCAGGTAAGGTCCATCAGTTAACAACACCTGTTATTTAAAGACAGTCAGCTTTTGGAGAGGTCAGTAGTAAGTTCTGGGGGGTAGGGGGAAAAAAAAACCAACAAACCAACTCTAAATTAATCTACCAGTCAAAAAGGAAAAAGGAGCTGTGAAAAGGTAAGCATAAGTAACTCCAGATCAGAGATCCTGGGGACAGACTCAAAGCAACTTTTACATCAACATACCTTCATGTTTGAATTATTTCAGTTCAACCACCGGTGACTTAACAAATGTATTAATAAAACTGAGGGGAACCTTTGGTACCATGGATTAATTTCATAGTACAGAAGCCTGCATTACATTAGTTGTGCATCTGTCTTGCATGAAAACCTTAAGAAAATTATTGTAAGAATATAGAGTTTTGCACACTGGAGATTTCAGCATTTGGTTCGTATCCAAGCACTGAGGATGTGCATACCTTTGTGAGGTCCTTATAGAGTTCTGGATATAGCAATGCCATTTCTGGCTTCACGTCCTGATCCAATACTAGAGAGAAAACTGGAAACATAGTATATATGGTTGCATACCTAGGGGAAAGGAAAGCACATAATTAGCACTTCTGTATGATATGATTTTAAACTGATCTGAGTTCAATTATTCTGTTTATGTAACTGGAATTAAACTGTTTTTTCTACCCAGTACTAAGGCAAAACAAGACAAAACAAGCACTATATTCCAGACATCACGGTATACAGGTAAATGGATGAACAAAAATCTTAACAGCTCTGCAAGTGGCTCTGGATTTCAGTATGCACATACCAGATGTATACTCGAGTATATACTTTTCTAGAACTTAGCACAACTATCTACAAACATTTTGGAGGTCTACTACTGCTTGCCTCTGCAGAGGCTGGTGTAATCAGACCTTGATTTGACTATGATTTAAGTTACTATTGATTTAAGTTGTTACTGTTACAAGGAGGACTTCTTGGGACAGAAGGGGCAGAGAGCAGGGACAAACACAAATATATGCGTATCCCTCAGCTGTATGACTTTGGGAACCATACTCCTAAAGCAGCTTCTGCAACAAGACCAGGGTGCTCCTAATCCCGCATACATTCATCTGAACGGAAATCTACCTGTCAGACTTGAGTAGTACACTCTCAGAAAGCTTCACAGTCAGTAGCTTCAGTTCCACTTTTAACAGAAAAAAAAATCTGTGTTTCTCACTGAGGCTTGTATGGCAATCTGTGTAACCGCTGAAACCAGTCTGGGAGATTTCCTCTGTTGTTTTCACCCCATATGTGAAAATGGTTATATGGCATCTTCTTCTAAGGTTATACAGATCCCTTTCTTCAGAGAACTGGTAATAAGGCTCTATCCCCCATGCAGTCCATATTCATAGAATCATAGAATCGCTAGGGCTGGAAAAGACCTTAAAGCCCATCCAGTGCCACCCCCTGCCCTGGGCAGGGACACCCTCCACTAGCCCAGGTTGCTCAAAGCCTCATCCAGCCTGGCCTTGAACCCCTCCAGGGATGGGGCATCCACAGCTTCTCTGGGCAACCTGGGCCACTGCCTCACCCCCTGCACAGGAAAACATTTCTTCCCAATATCTCATCTCAATCTCCCCTCTTCCAGTTTAAATCCATTACCTCTCGTCCTGTCACTGCATGTCCCTCCCCAGCTTCCCTGTAGGCCCCCTTCAACCTAGTTTGACTTTTCTTTGTAGAGACTCATTTCAGGTTTTGGTAACATACCAACAATAAATGTATGAAAAACGTGGCAGACACCAACTACATGATGTTATTTAACAAGTTAGTTTGCTGTATTTACTACCAGGTATCATAACTCTTGGTTTTGACTTACCCTACCATTAGGAATCCTTGGTACAAGGGAACAGATGCAAAATAGAAGACTGATGAAAATACAGCCTACAAAAAGCAGGTAATGATATGCATTAATATAATTCTATATATACAGAACATTACAATAAATAAAAAAATAACAATACTGGTTGATTAAGATTTTTTGACATTTCAAAGATAGACAGTGTTTTTAACTATTCAGAAAACAAAGTTTTAAATACCTGCATAGTTGAAATAATAAGGCCTCGATGCATGACAAATTGACCAAGTGCTGCTGATCTTTTGTAACTGTTTCGACCATGCACCATCAGCAGCCGCCCTATGTGTTTAAACTGCGTGATAGAAAAGTCAGCTGCTAGGGAAGCTTGTTTACCCTCCTAGAACAAAACAAAAATATTCCAAATATGAAACCCAGTGCAAAAGATGTGTTTCGAATGTCAAAATTCTAAGCGATAATTACTTTTAAAAGTCCAGTTTGCTTTTACTTCAGAAATCAACTCTGCAAAAAATCACAAAGGACAATTTTTTGTGCATATTCTAAGGTGCAGTGGCTGCAACAAGTTTACTCACCTATCCTGCTTCTTTCAGGTGAATGCTACACAGAAATAATTATAGTGTTTTCTGCTTTTCTTGCTTTTTGTATTTAAAAAAATAAAGCAGAGGACATAGAAGCAAAGAAAACATTTGTTCAAAGACTAAGCATTTTTATCACCTTACAGCATACTTTAATTAGAAATGATGAATACACTACTGTTTAAGAATAAAGCTTCTAATCCCACGTTACTATACTACCATGTAGCATATATTTGACAATGAAACTGTTAACATTACCTTGCCTTCAATTCCAATTCCACAGTCTGCTGCTTGAATCATGCTGACATCATTTCCTCCATCACCTGGAAAATGTCACTGCAATATTCAGCTCTTCAGAGGTTTTACTCTCCTGGCCTTACAGTATTTTAGAAACTTCTTATATACTTTTGATTTCTTACAATTAATCTATGGATTATCATTAATTACTTCAGCAATCAAGACTTTTTCCTGGGGAATAAAGAAGATAACCACACCTTTCTCATGGAACGGCATTTTCTGCTACAGCTACATAATACCTGGCTGTTGATAAAGAATCCTCTTCGGTTCTGTTTCAGCTACTTCTCAATGGTGCCATCTACTGCTTAAATTTATTACAGATTTTAGCTACCGCAGATGAAGACCACGCCAACAGTTACCTATTGCACACGTGCGTTTTCCGGTGTGGTGCTGTAACAGTTTCACAATATGAGCTTTTTGGGTGGGAGAACATCGGCAGCACACCACAGCAGGACACTGACAAGCCAACTCTACAAATTCATGCTCATAATACTTCAGACAAACCTAAGGAAAAAAATACACTCACGTTTACTTGCGATCACATTCAATAAAAAGATACTCTAACACAAAAACACAGTATATTATTTTATGAAGTTTTGCTTGCACAACGTCCATCAGAAAAAAAAAAAAAAAGCCACATTCTCCTGACTGTGGTTTTATTATTTTAAACTGGTATTTTCTTCATTTAGAGAGACAGTACACTTTGGGGATAAGAGAAGAGACAATACTAAAGCACACTGCACACAAACTCCATTCCGTGACCATACTCGAGACCAGAGAACCGATAACGTTTGCCCATCTAGAACATATATCCTCTAATTAGCACACAGTGAAAAACAAAAGCATCTCTGAGGACAATTTGAAGTACGGGTAAATATTGGAAAAAAGTTTAAGAGCACTAAGACACCGATACTTTACTTTTTGAACATAAGCATATAGATAAATGTAATTTGACTGGAGCCAAGTTCTTACCTCAAGCGAGTCCCCAGATATCACCAAGGCACAGTCATGCTTCCTCCTAAAGGCATTTAGTTCTAAGTGAGCCTCTCCTCGAGTAGCAACCTTCAATAAAAAACACCCATTTAAAAGATTTTGTTATATTCCTAAAAAAACCCCTGCCTAAATAAATCATATTTTGAGAACTCGTACCCAGGCAGCCTTCATTCTTCAACAAGTGTTCTAATGCTGTGCAAGCCCAGTGCCCATGGGATGCGACTACAAACCTTGAATCTTACGGAGTGAAAAAGTAATCCTTAAACAAGGAAAATCTATGTAGTCAGCTGAACTGGTTCCTCACCAAAGTAAACGAGGGCTAAAAAATTAATGAATTAATTACATAAAGTATCTTAAGTTCAAGCTGACCTAAGTCTTTCCATCCTGGCAGGACTAGAGAAAAAATAGACAAAAAACCTAAGCAAACCTCAAAACTTTCATTTATTAACCAGTAAAATATGTTCCTAGAATAATACAGAATGTTCACACTACGTTTCTTCAGTTTGGGTAAGCAGACAGAGATCCCAAAAGGCACATAAAAATGCTCACTAGTACTAATCTTTTTGGATCCTACATGAGTATGCAAGAAGGATCAAGTGACAGAATACGAATGAACGATATAATTTTTTATTTACTTAACTATTGTTTCAGAAAGGCTCAGCTGTGAAATACAAAAAGTGGTCAAAGGTTACCAAATGGATTTTGGAAGGTTTTGAGCTAGAACACAGAACATGAAAAATTTAAATTATAACCAGATTTTGAGGAGTTTTGTGGGTTCCCCCCCCCCAATAAAAGATCAATGTATTTTAGAGCCATCATACAAGACCAAGTTCCAAGCACAGAATAAAACAAACTCTGATTACACTTCTAGTTTTGGCTCTGTCAGTACCTTGATTAAATATCTTAAAATATATGAGTCTTAATTACACCGAACATGAAGTTTTGTCTTTGGCCCACTACTACTCAGAATCAGACGCAGTCCAAAGACCTCTCTCTCCAGATGGGCTCTACTACACATAAAAACTGAGTCACATTAAAAAGCACCTGCAAACAGAAAAACCCATACACATGCCCCAGTTCAGATCTTTTTTTCCTCTTTTCCCACAATTAAATACGTAAAGAGAGAGCTCCTTGTCTGCCAGCTGTTAGGAGCCCCAGATTGCATTGGCCCGTTATAATCTTTCTGAATCACAGAGATTAAGAGATGTCAGCAGTCAGTGCATGCTGATGAGCCATAATCAGCCTCTCTGTTCTACCTTTCACCTACCAGAGGTATATTTTTCTATTTTGTAAATACCTCTAGAACAACGTACCAGTTAATTTCATTACAAAAATGAAGAAGCTGAAACTTCTAAGAATAAAAAGGAAAAGCATTATAACCAACATTTGGGAATTTTGCCCATTTTTGGGAAGTCGAAGTAGTGAATAATTTTTTATTTACTAATAACTAAAACAGAAGCTTTAGAGTGCTTGGTATTTTCTTACATTAATCCAGCAGTTACTTCTTTGCAAAAAATACAGCTACAGAAATAACCCCGTATAAATCCATTTTCTAACTAATTTAAAACTTTGCGTACCCTAAGTTAACACAATTTTATGCTGATCTCTTATTACCAGTTGAGGTAAGGAAAATAAAAATCTGACTCAACTAAATAGATTTTGTTCAGGAAGACTTAATTTGTGGTGTTACAACATGGAAAGGTCAACAAAAATTGATCTGAAGTTTTATCAGAAGCATTAATAATGTAATTGCAAATAGTAGTCTGCAGGGCCTAATTTGCCATTCTGATGTTTCAGAAGAAACAACATTTACATGTAAATTATATTCATATAATTATTTCTGTAGGTGCAAGTGGTTCATTTAGAACAAACACAGACATATTATGTCTGATCACACAGCATCAATCAATGTCTGGAAAATCTATTTTTGTTTGGCTTTATCAGAGTTGACGCTATGCAAACATAACCAAGACGTATAGGAAAAGATATTCAGCTTACCTTTCTAACAATTATCTTAAACAGTTTTAATAAAACGCAAACAGATACCATGATATACAAAAAAATGTCAAATTTTCTCATACTGAGTTGAACTATGTCTATAAAGACGACGTTGGCATCACAGTTTAATTCATCAGGATTAATTCTGCTTGGGTCTAAAGAGTTCTATTAATGGAAATGCCGGAACACCAAGAACCACATTTCTGGTCCTAAATTTCTGGACACACTTTCCTACTGGCTCAGCACCTCACACAGACCCCTCTCCATCATTTTTCAGAGGTACCTTACTATGGCCATTGTGTAAGTGAAGAGAGTAGAACAGATGTAGAACCTGGGTCACCCGAACATGGCTACAAACATTTCTGTAGCATATCAACAAATCCAGAAACCAGCACTCTCAAACAGAAGCAATGCTTTGTAATTCTACATCCTTGAATAACAACCTAAGTACTACTCTCTTGACCATTATTACGACACTCAGTACAATAACCCATCAATTTTGAACAAGCAGCCAACTACTAATCAAATAAAGCAACGCTGTTATTAGCTGTCCTTTGACGAGCCAAGAAGAAAGTTGGAACTATACTTACAGGTCTGAAAATGTGAATATCTTGAGTCCTAGACACTAAGTGAGAACTTTTTGCAATGCAAGTTGCTGTCTCCAGTTTATCTCCTGTTAACATCCATATCTGCAAAAGAACGTAAAAGTTTACTCCATTTGACATTAACGTGTCTGTTCTCCAAATCTAAATGACATCTCCTACCTTCTTCTGTTACCTTTTGGGATTAGATTACCAGAAAAAATATACTATTTTTTTTTTTTACTGATATACAGCATTTTTAACTAAGATTGATGAAGAGTTTTTAATGCAATAACACACAAAGCAGAAAAGAACTGTCTTTAGGCAGCTCCATTCCCCTTCCCTTCTCACATGGGCCAATGTCTCAATTTACACAAAGACATGGTGAAACTCTGGGGAAACCCACTGGCATAGCTGAACAGCAGGGAAAGCATAAAAGCCTTTCCCTATGGCCCTGACACTACTTTGATCAAAAGAGTGAGCTAACATTTGTCAGCAAAATGATGTGACACAACTGTCCATGACCCTAGTGAGAATCTATCGGAAAGCAGCAGCCAAGCAATGAGACAGCACATTCTGGAGGAACGGCAACAGTCCCAACACTCCCCAAAGAGGTCCTGCCCACACAGAACTGGGATGAAGGCATTAAAGTTTAAGGAATAAGGTTGAGAATCCATCTGTTCTTAAAGTGAGATAGCCCTCTCTCCCTCAGCCCCTTACCAGCAAGAAAGTTGAAGGACATCTGGACGAAATGCCATTAGCCCTGGACCAAACGGAACAGACCACACAGGAAGAATGACTTAAGCTGCAGGTGTTATTACTGGACAGTCACTAAGTTAACAGTTGCAATTTTATTAAACTGTAAGCCTCCGTCTCCCTCTTTTCCTGTTCATCTCAGGTAAGATCCTTTTCATTAGTGTCCATGTGGTTCAATGAGTGGACAAAAGATGTCTTCTCATCAGGAACTGAGTAACCTATAATTTTACGACCTATCTACAGCTACTACTGTGTTTCCAGCCTGCTATAATGTTGGTTGTAATTAAAGCCAGAACAGTTTTTAATGCTCTGAAATACTAGAACTAATCATTAAAAAAACCCCCAAAACACAAAAAAACCCCTCCAACCTAAAGACTGTCACGCTGTTTCATACCCATTTGTAGCAGGATATACCGAACAACCAGAAGTGACCACATATAGAAAAAATATCAAGAGAAAATACAATATATGAAGTACTAAGTGCTTTGCACTAGTTACACCATACTAAAAAGAAATTTGATGTAACATAAGGCTTTAATCCATACAAATATTTTTCTAATTGGGCACGTGACTGCATTACCAGTTAATTCACCTGAAAGCCTTTGGGGAACAGCAACTAATTAAAACCAGAATAACAAAATAGCAGACATGGGAAAGGGCCTCTGGAGATTATCTAGTCCAATTCCCCTGCTCAAAGCAGGATCAACTACTGCAGGCTGCTCAGGACCACGTCAAGACAATTTTCAACATCTCCAAGGATGGAGACTCCACAAACTCTCTGGGAGACCTGCTCCAGTGCTTGAACACACAGTAAAAAATTTTCTTCTGACATTCAAGGGGAACTTACTTTATATCAGTTTGCATCCATCGCCTCTTGTGCTTTTAAATGGCTCTGTCCTCTTTGCACCCTCCCTTCAGGTATTTACAGCCATTAATAAGATCCTCCTGAACCTCATCCTCTCCTAACTACTGCGGGTGGCCAAGGCCGTCCCCACAACCAGCTTTCACATCGCTGAACGATTTCACCCTGTTTGCTACCATGAGGACTAGCAGAACATTTCTGCTCGATGACTCCTCAATCACCTGTGTCAGGAAATTACTGTCATTACACTCCAAAATTCTCCTGGTTTCCTTCTGCCCTCCTGTGTTGCCATTCCAGCAGATATTGGGGTGGTTAAAGTCCAGCGCAAGGACCAGCATGTGCAAATGTAAGGCTTCTTCCAACTGTCTGAAGAAGGTCTCTTCTACTGCTTCTTGATCAGGCAGTCTGTAGCAGACACTCACCATCATGTCGCCCACATGGGTCTGACCACTGATTCTAACCCACAAATTCTCAACTGGCTCATCACTAGTCCCAAGGCAGAGTGCCACACTCCTGCTCCCCTCTCATGTAAAGTGAGATTTCCCACGCTTGCTGCAAAGCAGTTTGATATTCTGCTTCAAGCAGAATGTATATAACCTTGCCCACTCCCCTCAGGTATTCCTCGTATCTTTACTTCAAACCCTCTCTCAAATGTATTACTTCTAAATGTGCAACTGATAGCTGTCGAGCACAGCCTGCCCGTGAACAAAACACAGCACACACTCTTGTGCAAAGCTTCCGACACTGCCCCTGCAACATGACTTGAACAAACTCCAAGGGGAGTTCCGAGCTCTAGTTGAAACAATTCACCTTTTGATCTTTGCTGAGAATTCTCCTGAGGGCCAAGCCTGAAAACACCGTTATCATACGAACCTCGTGCCAAACTCACTTAGTGCCAGCTAGGACAGTTTACTGCAGACGTTACCAGGGGATACATGACTGGGAGTCACACGTATTCATCCATTGGTAGTCTTCCTACAGACATAAGCTTAAGACCAGTGAAAGCTGTGGTGGACAAGGGAACTTTGCACACAACGTCTTGTTTGTTTCTGCTAGCTCATGCCCAGAATGTGCTTAGGACTTGGCATATTTCTTTCTTGAATACAGACAAATATAATTCATGTCTTGTTAAAAAAGAAGTTAATAAATGATAACCTGTAGTGTCAGCAGTGTTTAGTACCTTTATTCCAGCATTTCTTAGCATCTCCAGCGTTGGTCTAACATCTGCTTGCAGCTGATCTTCTACTCCAGTGAGACACAACAACTCCATTTCTCGCTCCAAACTCTCTACAACAGCAGCAACCTTCAGGTTTCTATCATGTATGCTTAATTTCGCTTGGTTATATCGACTCTGTTTGCACAAACACAAAACCGCTTAGAGTTTGCTATGACTCAAAGCATACATTCAGTCTACCAATCAGTTACAGCATGGATTCCTTAGGCTAAATGTTTTTCTTTAAATATCTTTGATGAAGAACAAGATTAAAAGAGTTAATTTTACTTTACACCCACTACTATACATGTTTTTTTCCTGCCAAACCACCTCAAGGTAATGCCTTCTGAAGAACAATTAAGAATTAGGCATCTAAGCAGGAACTGCCCGTATCTTTGAGAACAAGCAGATTTTTTAGGTCATGCTGAAGCTGCAGAACTAACATTACGCTAGCTTCTGGGAAAACACTGTCCAGTGACATAATAAAGCAAAACCATATCCTGTGTATGACTGCAGAACAATTACTAATGAATGACAAAATCTCTAACACATTGTGTGCCATGCCTCAACTATCGATATTTCAAATAGGAATCATCTTTTTTTGCCACCTTAATAGAATAAAAAAAGAGGCATGTTTGCCATGAAGTAACTAAAAATGGTGAAACACAAGATCACTCTGTCCCTTCATACCTCAAAATCTTGATACTGTTCTTCAGTCAGTGATTTTTTGGCAACAACCAGCGTACGTAGTCCTTCTCGTGCCATATTACCACACTAAATGGACCAAACCACAGAACAGTTATGCACATATTCAACTGTATGTACACATCTTATACTATATGCTAACAGAACATCTGTGCCGTAATGTTTGGCACTTGTTTAGACTATTTTGGAGATGCCACAAACGGAATAAAAAGCAATTATACTTCAGGTCCACAAATGAAGTGGTATGCTATTGGTAGGCCAATTAGATCTCCTCTCCTAGCCTAAAGAAAATCTCTTCCAGGTTGAAGTTTTAAAATAAATTACAACTATTTTTGAGGCATGTAACAGAGCCTACATTTTCTTTTTCCACTGAATATACTTCTTATCAGAAAAATAGCTACACATTAAAAGTAGCCATGGAACAGCATATCTTAATGAAAAACAAGGCTGTCCAGTGCAAAACACTTATTGATTTGACCTCATAAAGCTAAATAAATTAAACAAGTATTTTACAATTAATTGTGCATCATTATCGCCAAAAGTAATTTTTATGACATTCTGCTAGGTCTTGAGGGAGTTTAATTTATTCATGTCCCCGCATAAATCAAACTGCCCTGCAGCAGATATTGATTCATATTGCCAATACCATTATGAACATACATGGTGTAATCATTGTATTAACATATTGTCTGTATGTACGGTCAAAATAAGATGATTGCTGGTACCTACTAGAGCAACACATTGAAAAAGATTAATCAGTTTTGAAATTCAGTCACGAGATGTTTTATATTAAGTTTAATAAATGTGGCAAAAAGATACTTCAGTTTGGCTGCAACCCTTATTAAACTTCGTCATTCATAATCACACCTCATTCTAGGATTTGATAAAACAAGGGCACTTCAGGATAAATAGGTTTATAGCAGAATACTGCTCAGAAGTAATTAGGTTTCATGTGAAAGGTCAGTCAATGAAAAACAAATTTCCTTGTTTTAAGTAGGAACGTGTTCTGCTATGACTACCAGCTTTGCTTTTCCTGTGGGTTATTAGAGAACTGGAAATAGCTCAAATCCCTTAAAACCCATTCAGGATATATGTAACTGAACTTCAAAACCTATGACTGCATTGGCTCAGGTTCTCATTTAAACCTATTCCAGTAATACCTGATATTTTGATTTTCAATTTTTAGTTTTTAGAAAATCTGAATTTTTATAAATTTGTTTCTTACCTCTTCTTCTAACCAATCATTGTACTGTACAATAGTGGACATCGCAACATCTGCACCCTTCATGTAAAACGTAATGTCTCCTGAAGATTCATCCTAAAATTTTACAATAGAAATAGAGGGGAAGGGGGAATATCTGTTTATAGAGTCAAAACAATTACCTACCAATAACCTACTTGGCTTTTGAAGTAGTCAATGGATTATCATTTACAAAAGATGAAGTACCTTGCCAGGAGGTGGGTAAGTTTTATTACTTGATGTTACTACTTCCCACATCTCTGATTCCATCAAGATGCATATTCCCTGCTTTCTCACCTAAGAGGATCAGTTTTAACTGAAGTCAATGTAGCAGACCCTCAGCATCTCTGCCACTCTAAATTTTCAAATAGCACCATTATGCCCCCTCTAACTACTATTTTGTTTCTTTGGTGGCATATACTATGTAAGCCACAACAGAAACTTTGCTCTGTATCTATGAAATGACAAAAAATTTACAAATAACTTAGTGTAAATGCTTATTACAGAAGTTTTAATGATGAAACATTCGTTGTACATTCAGAGAATTCACACACAGGAAAACAGAATCAAAATCAGGAGTTTCTGAGGTACGGTCTGTTGCAGAAGGAGTGGATTAGTCTGACCTGCAAGTTTCTTAGAATATCTCTGAACATGTCACTGTTAAACAGGCTCTTAAAGCCAACCTCACCTAACGAAATACAGACTTGCCAAGGTCTCTCCAGATCTGAGCACGCACATGTTCTGCCTGAAGTGTCCTTGCTTAAGATGATGTCATGACATCATGGGCAAAAAAAAACCGGGATGAGTTTGACACCTATTTAACTGGGACTTGGCACTCATCTAATCATCGAATAACATTGTCTAAAGTTGTGCTACGGTGTCTGCTTTTAAGCAGGGAGAAGATAGAAATATGTATGGCTTAACTTTCATAGAGGTTTAAACCTTCCTTTTAGTATGGTGTTAAGGCTTCCTTTCATCTGAGGTTTAAATGACCATTACTATGCTCCCAACTGGGCATCCAGGAGACAACTAAGCATGTACCTTGTAAATCTTAGTCCCTGTGGGTTGTGCTGCATGTGCACACCAGTTCAGGTATCAATGCTGGCTCTGGAAAAGCAACAGCACTAGCAGTACAGAAAGATGTTAGCTACTATTGTAAGAAATCTCAGCCGTTAATTTATCCCTTGAAGGAGCAACAGATTTTGTATGAAAGAAACAAATGGAAAATTGAAAACAAAGGCTTAAAGGCAACTTGCAGCATCAGAGACTAACTGTGAAGTAGTGAAATTAACACGTTTCCACGTAAGAGCAGAGTTTATCCTTTATAAAGCTCTGAGCCTGATTTTTCTACAATTGCTTGCCTAGTATTTCATGCGTACCTGCGTCAAAGGCATACTTTCCATTTGAAAATCTTGTGAAATACATTCCCTGAAGGATCAAGTTGCTATTCAATTTTATAAAAATAAGCATTCAGTAAAAATATTTTTTTGAGAAATATAACACTCCCAAAATTACCCTAACGATGATCCCCATGCGCTTGCTCTCAGAGGTGAAGGGAAAGATCTGCAGAATATAGTACGTCAGAATGTGTCCCCCAGGGGTCTTCAGCTGCATGGAGGTCAGATCCCTGTTAACCAGAGTGAGACCAACACTCTCTGTCCACTGCACCAGAGCTACCTACAGAAAGAAAAAAAGGAAAAGAGAAACATGTTTAAGTGTCAAATGTCTACTATACTGTTATATAAATTAGGCCAAAGCCAAACAACTGTTGCTAGGATAAGAGTCTAAACTCTTCCGAGAACCTAAAACAAAAAAAGAGAGTGAATAGTAGCAGACAGAGTACAAAATCTTAATACATCAAATGAGTATTTTCCTTCAGAAAGCTTACAAAAATTCTTATGAAGAGTATTAAAACTTATTTTAACTTACTCCTGCAAATGAGGTATTTAAAATACATTGTTCAGAAAAAAACAGTTCTAATTAAAAAACCAGATATATATTCCACAATGCTTAAAAGATATCCAGTAGAAATTATGCAAAACCAGAATACAATTTCTGGACCAACACCACCGCTATGTAAGTAAAAGATTTTGGGAGTATTTCCATATAAAACATTTTATTAGATCTACAATCACCTATAAGTTGAGACACTGCAATATGTAGTAAATAGATAAGCAAAGTATTTTATTTTTAGCTTACTTTGTTCACTTGCATAATTTTATTACTTTGTTTCAACAAGAACATAACTGAGTTCTTACCATCTCAAATGAGATAGAAACCAAGCTTACACCACTGCATCCCAGACACACGCTTGTGAAAGTCCCTTTTACAAACCCAGAAATGCTGCATGACGCAACGATCACTATTAGCTACCACTACACAGCATCATAAATGCATCCATTAGAGATCTGCTTCTTTAACTTCGCTGCTTTAAAGCACATGACACCTAGCTTCTACTTTCTTCTATGTTATGCTTTAAATAACACACTAGATATTTTTCTATCACCACCACCGTGTGGTTTATTCCTTCAAAAAATTAATACTTGAGGAAAGCTGTTTTACTATTAGTTTATATAGGAGCCATATTCCATAGCTGAATGGGAAGTTTCTAATAAAAAAAATTCTCCTCCTCAATTCTACTTTTATTTTTCCAAACTCTAATCACTATTGGAAACCAGATTTTTAAATGACTAGAAAGGTAATCATAATGAAGTTCATATGATTTTTATGTAACCTGGCTCTGCTGTTAGGCTCAGGTAAGATAAAAAAATAAATATCAAGCAGTCTGGTAAGACATGAAAGCAGTAAAATCCCTAGATTAGTTCAACAGACATGATGACTAATGCTAAGAATTTCACCAACAGCAAGTAAAATTTAAAATTGGAAAAAAATATTGTGCGAACCTCTCAGAAACCCCAGCAGTGCCATCTGTGTAGGCACCATCGAAGGAAAATGGAGCGAGATGCAGCTACAGAAAAGAACACACTTTGAAAAGCACCACTGTAGAACCCTGAAAATCACAGGAAGTGTTTTTAGAGATTTTTCTTCTTCAATAAAAGTACCACATAAGCTGTAAATGATCCAATACTCCCAAGGTTAATTTTCAATTTTCACAGTGAAAGGTTACTATTACATTCTGACCTGTAAATTGCATCTTTCTACTAATACCCTATCATCTCATTTGTGTCCCTCTGCAGCTAGGATTTAAGTGCTCTATATTTGGTGACTCACATCTGTTTATTATTTTCTTTATGCTTGGCTTCACCTACCATTTGAATTAGTGTTTTGCAGCACAGTTGTTTTGGATTCTTACACACACACTGGCCTAAACACAACTGCACATATTTCTTTTTTCTTTTAAATTGATCAGTGCAAGTACCACAGCAGAAGTAGTCAATAAGGCCCAAGAGTCAAGTAGATGCCTAAAAGGCAACCGAACAAACTTGAGACAAGACATTAAGCTTGATTCTAGTCATTCAGAAGAAATCAGAGCATCTAGACCTTAACAGCCATCCAGAACACAGACAGATCTCACCCTTGGAATACGTGAAACTTTTAGAATTAAAAAAAAAAAAAAATCACAAACGGCATGAAAATCTAAATCTTAACAAATAAATATTCTGAATGGCTGGCTATACAGAGTTCAGAAACGGGATCTTAGGTGAGTCTCTCTTCTCGTGGTTTCCCCTCTACAAGTATATTCTCTTCAGTAAGTTTCTGAAATCTTCCATTAAAATGGTTTTGCAGTCTCATGTGCGTACATCAAGAACCTCTAGGATGCCAGGTACACGCAGCAGCAGTGGCTTCTAGAGAGCTCGACATATTGGATGGAGTCAGATCAAGCAATCAAAGGTCACCCAAGCCCGAACGTCTTCGCTGGCAGTGCTCCCATTCTGCTTTTAAAAAACCAATCCATTCTAATGATAATATTTATTTGCTGATAACCATTAATTTCCTAACATGCACAGATGAAATGTGTCAAGTTTGCTGAACCCAGGTTAGGGACTTATTTGAATATTTTGTGGACCTTGTTTGGCTTATCACCCTCTGTGGAAGCCGGCTGCCTAGACGACAGAAATTGGTAGATCCAGGGTCCTCCCGCTACTGAGATGCAAGTGTCCACCTGAGCCCACTAACTGCGTAGTGTTCCCAAGACAGGTAAAGCAGGTGGAGTTGAAGAGTTTCTGTGGTTTCTAACTTGAGCACCTTCCAAATCAGGAATGAAAGTGGCAAATACTTGCCTTATGAAATGGAAAAGAAACAAATTTGACAAAAGCTACTGAGAAACACCTCTTGTTTAGTGCTTCTTAACCAAGATCTTTCAGCTGTTTCACCTACTGCATGCCCAGTGCTGAGCCCTGGTTGTCCCTGTCAGCAGTGCCTCTCCACAAGAAGCCCCGACCCTCAGAACCTCCACAGTTCACAGCCCCAGATACCAAACTCTTCCATTACCACAGCAGATTTCCAAAGTCAAATTCAGAGACTTCTTAAGGGAACTCTCTCCACTCAAGCAGCAACTGTGCGACCCAGAACGTAACCAACCGCAGTATCAGCTCAGGAGGTGGAACGAGCTTCTCCGAGCAGGACAGGGCGTCTAGCTCTGCTGCCTGAGGAACGTGCGCGTCTCAAGAGGGGCATGAAGAGGGGAAGCCTCAGAAGCACTGTTGGTACAGACCACGGCAGCCCTGCACACTAATGCCATGTGTTGAGGACATAATCATCCCATTTGTTTAGAAATGTTCATTTATGGAACTAAATCAAAACAAGCAGCTTATAAATATCTTAGGTAGTTTCTAGAAAGTTCCATAAAGCACACAAGGCTGTTAAGTGACAATGATGAAGCAACCTACTTTGTCAGTCACAAAACCTAAGCCTGTTAGAGTCAGGAAAATGAATAGTTACGGACTTCATAAACACCATGTCAAGCACAGCAAAAACCCCCAAAACCCCATTATTCCTGTTGTGGTTTCAGAACTCCATATTTAATTAGAACATTTGACTGATTTTAACCTAAAATACTAATCAACAATTTTAAAAGACTTCAGAAAACATGTAAACTGATAGGCCACAAAAACTTTAGTGTATTTAATTTTATCGTAAAACAATTACATTCTAAATTATTTTTTTAAACTATGATGCCAATGTTTTAAGGAAAAAAATCTCTTCTACAATAAGATCTGTTAGCCTATGACTTCCAATTGATAACTCCAATTAAAATAATTATGTGGCAGAAAATGCTAAAAGTATCTAACCGCACGAGTCAACACTCAAAATTAAGGTTGACATGTATGATGAAACAGAATGTCCATAGAAACCATTTCGAGGAACAGCCATATCTTCATTTTACTTTCACCTCTGAGGATTAAAGAGTCAAGTACCTCCCTGTGCTATCAAATAAAGGCGTTTGCTTCTCTCTGGACTGGTGTTAGATGGCTTTAGGCCACTCCATCAGTATGTACAGGACTGTTCCTTACACAGCCCAACTCAAAGCCCACCTCGGAATCCTCCTGACCTTTCCCTGGGAGGGTGACTAACTCACACAAGGAAGGGCACTCTGATTCCCTCTCAGATTAACATATTCCTTAGCTTCCTCTGGACCAACAAGAAATATCAGTTGTCACCCTGCTGTCTTACTAATTTTAAGTTTGGGGAATTGAGTCCCACTGAGTCCCCTTGCTCTGTGGAAAATGTAACTACCTCTAGTTACTCGTCATCTTGGGAGTATGATGGCATGAAGAAGTCCCAGTGAAAGAAAACATGATAGTCACTTGAAAAAATGAAACTTGCCTTGCCGCTGGGCACACAGGGTTATAAATCACAAGGTGAGGTATTTGAAGCACCCTGCTGAATCCTGAAGACCTTCAGTTACTGGATCAATTGTAAAAGGCTGTTACTGCTTGGCAGAAGAACAAAAAAAACGCCCTAAGGCTGTTCTTGCTTGCTTTAGATAGTGTATCAGCCAGGGCTGGAACATACAAAACATCCTACTGCTAATTTCTCGCTTTGAATTCTGGGCTGTTTGGAACTTAGCTGGTCTTAGGAACCTAATCCACTAATTTTGATTTTACAATAAAATATCTTGAGAGAGAAAGCAGAGGTGAAAAAAAAACACACACAAAAACAAACCAACAACCCACTCTACTCTTAGCTCGAGTAAACTGAAACAGAGATTGGATATTTGACTCAAACATAACCTTTCATCAACCAAGACAAGAGTAGTAATGTATTTCTATGAAAAAAATATTCAAAACCTTATTCAGCCTGAAACTGCCAAGGCCCCAAGCACACCCTCCTTCCTAGGAGTTTAACCACTTCAAGGCCAGTTCATTGTTGAGAGCCGTGATGAAGAAACAGCTCAAAGAAGCCTCCATGGAGGCTGTCCTTCCTCCTTCACTTGGCTCTTGTGCTTGGTCCTGTGGGAGCTACATCACAACCCTGCCCACATCTGGCCACGTACCCCGCGGACCTGGCCCTGACAGGCAGACACGGCCTCCTGGCTTTGGCCCTGCCTCACTGCCATGAGCGTTCCTTGCTGTCACCAGCCTGTGGCTAATCCTGGCTACTCTCTTGGGACCTGATCCTGACTTCTTGGCTTGACTTCAGATGTGCCTCATCACCACAGAGCTGTATACCAACCTGTGTTCTTGACTGTCTGTGGTTTCCATGACGGGACGTGTTCTTTTGACCCTGCTTGGATATTGTGGGGCTGTACACCTCACCACTGGCTCCACTGCCTCCAGCAGCCTGGCTCTCACGCTCAGCTCCTGCCTTCCCTATCCTTGCAGGCCGGCCTGCCACGGCTGCTCCATAGCAGAGATATCTGACTGCTCAAGGCATGCAAAGTGTTGCTCAAAACAGTTTATGACCAACTAATTGTCACTTTCAACACACAATACTTCCTTTTGAACTAACGTCTCCACTGCCTCGCGGCTGGCATTGGCAGCTCTTCTCCCACCCAGCCCAGCAGTTTGGGAGCTCCCCCACAGCTGTGCTGACAGCTTTTATGGAGCCATGCTATGAACCTGACCACTTAAACTGAAAAACGACTCGTACGTAAAGGCTTCGAAGGTTTTTGGCATATATGAGAGAGCAATTTGTAGGGTGAAAAAGAAGGACTGTAAGCTAGTTTTGCTGCTTGGAAGAATTCTCATTTAACCAACCTTCACTGACTTCAGAGTATTTAAGAGCATCTTCACCTCAGACCATAGGGTCTACTTTCAAAATCAGGTTGCTGTGTAAGGTATACTACAGGTTATATGTCTGGTATTTTGAAGTTAAGGCTATTGGTTTGGACACAGGGAAGAAGCAGTGACTTTTTTTCCCCCCCTCACTGCCTGACCATTCCCAACAGTTCCTGTTCCGATTGTTTAACAACTCACATGTTTCCAATCAGCACTGGTTTGTTTATATTTATGATAACTAACATTCGCAGTCCATCACTTCATTGAGAAACTTCATAATTAAAATAAAATTATTAACTTAAAAATACAGCTTGATCATGTGAAAAAACTGCCAATCAATATTCAAGACAAGCTATGGAGTAGTTATTCTTTGTGGGTCTCGAAGGTCACGAAAGTGATGGTTTTATGCTACTGAGTGATTAGTTTTTCACAATACATTGACAAAACAACACAATTAGTCTTGCTTCAATAACCACACACAATAAAATGAATTAAACAATACAACATGTCTCATACATTACAGCTTCACTTTTGTAAACACAAAAGCTGCTTCACTAAGGGCATATCATTTCCCTGTCTGTTTTTAAATGACTGGCTTTGTATCCTTGTAATTAATTTTAGCAACTCTGTTGTCTCTGGACAGAAACCTTGGAATTAAGTAACTGACCACACTTCAAGGTAGTATTTAAATATGCAAAATCCTGGAATTACAAACGCTTGAGAATATAACAGTGCAGGACAAAGCATAACCAATAAATAGCTGGTTTATGAGAGTAAGCAGTCATTAAAAATCGTGACAGATCAATCTCTTCTGACCAAGGGGAGCAAAGGTCTTCAAAGGCTCCTGTTCACAGCATGCCCCTGAATTGCTTGGGTCTGTGCCCTTTGAACTCCATTGCTTTACCTACTTAGCTTATATCCCTTTCTGATTGTTCATTACATTAAGGTAGCTGGCTTTCTACAGATGAGCGGGACCCACACCTACGATGGCCAAGCAGGAGCTATTTTCATTTTTTCCTGTGAGTTCTCAGTGACTGTTTATTGTTTGCTATGCTGCAGCTGTAGAGGACAAGTGACAGACAAATGAAACTTTCCACTCTTTCAGAGAAAATGAAATATTGATCACTTATCATAAGAAACAAAGAGTCTGGCATAAGTAGGGCTCACATTATGAATACAAAATCAGTTACTTATCTCAGGTTACTCTAACAATAGATAAATACATCTTTTATGACGAATGTATCTACTTCTAAATGTGCATACTTTTTCATGGTTGTATTTTATCTGTATATGGATACACACATACACACAGATGTGAAGAATTTCAAATGAAATCCTCAAGTCAATTCATTAAGTGTACAGTGTGTCAGCGCATTACCGACCTGCTTCTTATACTTTCCTACACGGAAGAATAGTTTATACTTACACGTTCTCTGCTCTTTATAGGCTAGAGTGATACCATGTATTATTATATAATGCAACAGACAACTGTGCAAATAACATCTTCTTTCTAAAGACTGCAATCAAGCCAGATCCATTAAAAAAAAAATAATCTAAAACCAGAGTTGTAATGTTGAGAAAGTACAACGCATAAAACTGCTTAAGTCTATTAAATTATAATGTTGCTTATTAACCAAATATGTTGTGATAGGTCAGTGCTGAGGTTAAGCAGAAAACATCAATTGAACCATTTCCCTAAATAAAGCTCCAGGGTGCAATATTCAAAGCACTTTATTCAATAAAAAATGCTTTTAAAATGGTACTTTGGTGATTGGGAAACATTGGCATCATCCGTCAACCTAACTGCAGGAAAGTTCAATAAGCTAAATAATGAACCATTTACATTATTTTCCTTAGGCTCCAGTGATTTGCAAACATTGCATCAATAGAACTCTTAAAAAAATTATGATAAAGACCTGCTAGTCTTTCAACTCTTAGGCTTTTTGCTGCCATGCTGCAATTTTTATGCTGTTTAAATGCATTTTGTAGCTTCATCTTTTTATAAGACTCCATTTAGCATCAATTTCTAATTATATTAAATCATATTTGTTCAATGTTACTAGTGATTCAAGCATTACCTTTGAGAAATGAAAAGGAAATTTAATGCTGTCTGTTCTGAAATGCAGGTTTTTCATTTCACTGTCATACAGTTTGAATCTATGAGTCAAGATGTTAAAAAAAAATTATTAAAAGGATACCTGTGCTTTCTCTTCCTTGAAGCACTACTAGTTTCTTTGTTGCTGATTTCTTCTTCCACTTCCCTTGTCACCTTGAGTCCCAGATCTGTCATATTAGCACTTTATCAACTTTCCTCTTTCCCAGGTCAAATTCCCTACCGTATTCCCTGGGCAGCACTTGCATAATTCTCAAGACTCACAGCTGTTTCCTTTAGCAAATACAGGAAGGGAACTGCTCTTTATGGGCACATTTTCAGGTTCCAAACAACTGAACGAATATACAAAAGCCCACAGGGAGACAAGAGCAAGTGGGAGAAAAAACTCACATAGTCTCTCTCAGTTGCACATCTCTTCACCTGATTTAGTCCTATCTTCAGCTGTTAAAGCAGAATATTTACTTAACCCGTAGCTGTCACCGTATCTTAATAGGTAGATACTTGCTCATGCAGTCTTTTGCTGTATTTAGTAACACCTCACAGGCTCATTACTCTGATTTATTTAGCAAATACGAATATATGCGCATACGAAAATTTGCACATGAGTCAAACATTCTACAACTACACTAAAAAAACCACATTTACAGTGTGTCTCTGGCCTAAACAAATGCACTTCCAGCCTTCTCAATTCATCAAGCCACACTATGTAGCACCACATACAGTATTATGGATTATTGATTTTAGCCAGTCTCTCAAGTCCTGCCTAGAGTTTATTTTTAAAAATGTTCTGACTGCCACTTTTTAATCACTGAGAACCAGCCACTTCTTTATATTCTACAACCTTTGACACTATGAACTGTGTTTATAGCATCTGAAACACATGTAATGCCCGCTACTTTGGTACTACACGGAGAGAGACTTAATGTTATTTCTTGCATTCCTGAAAATACTTGTTTTAGATTCGGTACTTTTAGCAATTAATTACAGCTTGCGGTTTGAATTGCTGAAGTTTTGTTAGTATTACATACGGTGACATGTAAAACAAACGTATCTCAAGAACAATAGGCTATGCTGCGGCAGGATGAGGTTTCTGGAAGAAGTATTACCTTGTGCGAGATCAACCTGTAGAGCTAGAAAAACACCCAGGCTTTCAGACACACACTCCCTCCTTCACACCTTACAACCACCTTGTTTTGCCTATGACTAAGCTACCGCGGCTACACCACGCACAGTCCAGCCAAGATGCAGACACTGCTAGAATTTCTTTCACACAAAGACCCCCCCTCCACTTGCTCGCTTCCAGATGCAAGCCAACCTCAAAACACTATCCCTGTATTTTACTGTATCAAGTCCATACGTATTTTTATGAAGTGAATGGGCTAGAATTATTTTTTTATGCTTACTTTGCAGTATCTTGAAACTCCAGCTTTGCTTCTGTCTTCTAATATCCTTTTAGGTTGAATTTTAGGCAATCAATGTAGGACCCCAAACAGGATTATTTGGAACAATAACTCAAATCCACTGAAAGCAGTGGGATTGGTTTAAACTTTGGATTTCAATGGAAGTCAAACACATGCTTTTATTGAAATAAGGTTTTACATTTGTTTTAATTTTTTTTTTTTAAATTTGTTTAAATTTTGACTGAATGTTGAAGATTACGAAGCTGCTTATGGTTTGAAGCTCAAAAGCTTTTCTACAGGAGTATTTGAGGTTTGGGGTTTGTTTTCCTGTTAAAAATCCATTCGTTCCACTAACTGGTAGTGTCTCTAGCTGATGTACCTGGTTGTCCATCACTCAAAGCAGTTTCATACTCCCTTTTTTACGGGCATGCTATGATTATGATATTAAGGATTAATGTTTTGAGAATACACCCAGTAACTTTAATTGCAATACTCAACACAGTATTGATCCCAAAGCACGGACTTTGCAGACAATTTAGTCAAATAACTGAAAACACTTCTACATAACAAAGAAACAGCAGATCTTTCTGACAGCTGTAGAGGAAATAAAACCAGGTTACTGCTAATTTTAAAGAAACCCCAGCCCAAAACACTCTTCTTTTCCAGTTCTGCTCTTTTAACTTAGTTTGTCCTGTTCTTTACAAGATATTAATTTTTTCAGCCTCACATACTAACCTCATCAGGGCTGGAAGCCTGGTAAGTCCGATTTTCATCGCTGAAGTCCTGATCCACCTCTGCATATTCTGTTTCTCCAGACACACCAGCCCGGGACTCGTATACTGGGGTCACGTTGTGGCACAGCGCAATGGCCTTCACTGCTTCGTGTATCCGACTGCTGACACTCTTGCGGACTTTGGGTGCAGAAGACTGAGGTTTCCTAGATGGCGTTGAACTTGTACTATTTCCACTATTCTGAGCATGCACCTTGAAGACCCAACAGAATGAGCAAAGTTTGATAACGGAAACAAAACATGAATACTAATGTATATATATCCGATTGTTTCCTTTACAAAGGTCGATCAATCATAAAGACAGTAACCATTTATTTTATATAGTCTGCTCTTAACTCATTCAGTTTGTGATTCATAAAAATCCTCATCTACTTTTCTGTACAACTGATACATAACTGTGGGTTCATCACCTTGCATTTGTAGTCAGATTTCAGACCCAGTGCCTGCAGACAACAGAGAAATGTGAAATGAAAAAGTATGCAGTAAAAGGGGGGAACAGGCTGACGGATTCTGCAGAAAACCCTGCTTCCTCGCTTCAGATTTTCCCTTTTTCAGTGATCTCTCACAATAGTCCTTTCATGTCATTTACATTCTATGAAATATTTTTTAAAAGGTTTTTAAGCCAGCAACCAATTGGATGAGCTTAGAAACACCAAACTAAACCAGCAGGAGCTGGGGTTTTGCTGTTGTTTAGCCTCTGTCACCGCTGTACATTCAGAGGCTGGAAACTCCAATGCCATTAAACTGAAAAAAACCCTTTTCCTTTACATCTTCACCTAAATCTCCGTATTTTAAAGACCACCACATAAGTATGGAACAACAGAACAAAGGCAAGTATCACTGTTCAGTATAAATATTAGGAGCCATTAAAATACAAATACTGCTGAGTTGATCTATAACCTACACAACTTCTGTATTGTTGATGAACTAATGTGGTTTGTACGCTTTTGCTGCAGGCTGAAATTTGTTTATCCTTACAAGAATGCAATAATCTACTAAAATAATCATGCAAAATAATAGTTTGACACATATTTGAAGATCACGTTACTGTTGCATAACCACTAATTTAGCATTATTTTAAGTTATCCTTCAGAAATGCTCAAGAACATGATTGAAATAATCTTTTAAGAGGAAGTACTATATGTTTATTAGTAGTTGAAAATAACTGAGTTTGGTGGTTTTTTGGTTTGTTTTTGAAGTCAGCACATTAAATATATCAGCAGTACTGCCAAAGGCCCTTCTGGTAACTCAGAAAACCTCTTCAGAAGCCATGCTTTTTTCCTCCTGACTGCAATCT